GTTTAAACTATTTCAATCTCTAGGAGATCGTGAGTTCTAGTTGGACCCTTGGGATGGAAGTATGCTTTTTGACCTTGCGCCAATTACCGCAATTTGGTGAGACAGTCCGTAGGAGAAGGTGAGTTCTAGTCCTCCAATAGTCAAGGTAAGTTCTCATCCTCCAATTTGAACGACCGTCAGAGGAGTGATCTTACGCCAATTCTCCCAGGATAAGGTGAGTTCTATTCCTACAAAAGCACATTGAGTTCTTTTCCTGCTAAATACACAATACATGTTTGAGTTTAAACTATTTCAATCTCTAGGAGATCGTGAGTTCTAGTTGGACCCTTGGGATGGAAGTATGCTTTTTGACCTTACTCCAGTTACCGCAATTTGATGAGTTTGAGATGAACATTTAAGATGGAAGCCAGCTGGTTAGTTTGGTTGAATTAACAGGAGACAGTCAGTAGGAGGTGAGTTCTAGTCCTCCAATAACTTCTCGTCCTCCAATTTGAACAACATGAAGAGGAGTGATCTTATGCCAATTCTCCCAGGATAAGGTGAGTTCTATTCCTACAAAAGCACATTGAGTTCTTTTCCTGCAAAATACACAATACATGTCTGAGTTTAAAGTATTTCAATCTCCAGGAGAACGTGAGTTCGATTTGGACCATTGGGATGGAAATCAGCTTTTTGACCTTGCACCAGTTACCACAATTTGATGAGTTTGAGATGAACATTTAAAATGGAAGCCAGCTGGTGAGTTTGGTCGAATTAACAGGGACAGTCAGTAGGGGAAGATGAGTTCTCGTCCTCCAATAGTCAAGTAAGTTCTCGTCCTCCAATTTGAACAACATGAAGAGGAGTGATATTATGCCAATTCTCTCAGAATAAGGTGAGTTCTATTCCTACAAAAGCACATTGAGTTCTTTTCCTGCAAAATACACAATACTTGTCTTAGTTTAATCTATTTCAATCTCTAGGAGATGGTGAGTTCTAGTTGGACCCTTGGGATGGAAGTATGCTTTTGGACCTTTCCCCAATTACAGCAATTTGATGAGTTTGAGATGAACATTTAAGACGGAAACCAGCTGTGTGACTTTGGTCAAATTAACAGGATACAGTCCGTAGGAGATGGTGAGTTCTAGTCCTCCAATAGTCAAGGTAAGTTCTCATCCTCCAATTTGAACACCGTTGGAGGAGTGATCTTACGCCAATTCTCCCAGGATAAGGTGAATTCTATTCCTACAAAATCACATTGAGTTCTTTTCCTGCAAAATACACAATACTTGTCTGAGTTTAAACTATTTCAATCTCCAGGAGAACGTGAGTACTAGTTGGACCATTGTGATGGAAGTATGCTTTTTGACTTTGCGCCAGTTACCACAATTTGGTGAGTTTGAGATGAACATTTAAGATGGAAGCCAGCTGGTGAGTTTCGTTGAATTAACAGGAGACAGTCATTAGGAGATGAGTTCTAGTCCTCCAATAGTCAAGGTACGTTCTCGTCCTCCGATTTGAACCACTGTTAGAGGAGTGATCTTACACATAATTCTCCCAGGATAAGGTGAGTTCTATTCCTTCAAAATCAATTTGAGTTCTTTTCCTGCAAAATACACATTACTTGTCTCAGTTTAAACTATTTCAATCTCCAGGAGAACGTGAGTTATAGTTGGACCATTGGACAGGAAGTCAGCTTTTTGACCTTGCGCCAATTACCGCATTGTTGATTGTTGATGATATGAACATTTAATACAGAAGCCAGCTGGTGAGTTTGGTTGAATTAACAGAGACAGTCAGTAGGAGGTGAGTTCTAGTCCTCCAATAGTCAAGGTAAGTTCTCGTCCTCCGATTTGAACAACAGGAATAGGAGTGATATTATTCCAATTCTCCCAGGATAAGGTGAGTTCTATTCCTTCAAAATCACATTCAGTTCTTTTCCTGCAAAATACACAATACTTGTCTGAGTTTAAACTATTTCAATCTCTAGGAGATCGTGAGTTCTAGTTGGACCCTTGGGATGGAAGTATGCTTTTTGACCTTGCGCCAATTACCGCAATTTGGTGAGACAGTCCGTAGGAGAAGGTGAGTTCTAGTCCTCCAATAGTCAAGGTAAGTTCTCATCCTCCAATTTGAACGACCGTCAGAGGAGTGATCTTACGCCAATTCTCCCAGATAAGGTGAGTTCTATTCCTACAAAAGCACATTGAGTTCTTTTCCTGCTAAATACACAATACATGTTTGAGTTTAAACTATTTCAATCTCTAGGAGATCGTGAGTTCTAGTTGGACCCTTGGGATGGAAGTATGCTTTTTGACCTTACGCCAGTTACCGCAATTTGATGAGTTTGAGATGAACATTTAAGATGGAAGCCAGCTGGTTAGTTTGGTTGAATTAACAGGAGACAGTCAGTAGGAGGTGAGTTCTAGTCCTCCAATAACTTCTCGTCCTCCGATTTGAACAACATGAAGAGGAGTGATCTTATGCCAATTCTCCCAGGATAAGGTGAGTTCTATTCCTACAAAAGCACATTGAGTTCTTTTCCTGCAAAATTCACAATACATGTCTGAGTTTAAAGTATTTCAATCTCCAGGAGAACGTGAGTTCTATTTGGACCCTTGGGATGGAAATCAGGTTTTTGACCTTGCACCAGTTACCACAATTTGATGAGTTTGAGATGAACATTTAGGACAGAAGCCAGCTGTGTGACTTTGGTAGAATTAACAGGAGAAAGTCAGTAGGGGAAGGTGAGTTCTAGTCCTCCAATAGTCAATGCTTGCTTCAAGGTCTGGAATGCCTGTTGCTGTGAGGATCCCCACTGGAATGGGACCTTTTTTTGCCAGAGCTGGGTCAGCGGAGTGGTCATGGCGGCATAAGCCAGGATGAATGGTAATAGTTGGCGAATCCCAGAAAGCACTTAACATCTTTCACCCGGCATGGGGGTTCCCAACTTCACAAGGCTTCCACCTTACAAGGGTTCATGGTGATGCCTTCGGGAGAGATGATGTGGCCCAGGGACTGTATGGATGTCTGGAAGAATTGGCACTTCTCCAGTTTTGCATAGAGCTGATTCTTCCAAAGGCGCTGCAGAAAGAGGCGTACTTGCTGGAAGTGGCTTTCCCTGGACCGGGAGTAGATCAAAATGTCATCCAGGTAGACCACCACAACCTGGTCCAGCATGTTCCGGAACACCTCATTCATGAAGTGTTGGAAGACCGTGGGGGTGTTAGTCAACCCGAATGGCATTATAGTGTACTCAAAGTGGCCATATCGGGTGCCAAACGCCATCTTCCATTCATCGCCCTCACGAACTCGCACCAGTTAAAGATGATCACCTCACACAGTCTCTCAATCAGCTCCGGGATCAGCGGCAGGGAATATCGATTTCTCTCCGTGATGGCGTTCAACCAGCGGTAATCGCAACACAGGTGCAGATCCCCTGTCTTCTTCTTGACAAAGAGGATTGGGGCCAAGAGAGGAGAGGACAAGGGCCGGATGAATCCCCTGGCTAGATTCTTCTCCAGAAATTCCCTCAAAGTGGCCAACTCGGGCTCCGACATGGGATACAAGCATCCCACTGGCAGCGGTGCATCAGACAGAAGGTCCACAGGGCAGTCGTATGGCCGATGTGGGGGCAGATGGTCCACCTCTCTTCGCTGAACATGTCGGCGAAGTCTGCCAGGTCAGAAGGCAAAGAGGCAGCAGGGACAGAGACTTCCTGGCTAGAAAAGGTGTGGCGGATGTGATCTACACACTGCAGGCTCGAGAAGGAGATGGCGTTCCATGACCACGCTACCTGAGGGTCATGAGTCTGAAGCCAGGCTATACCCAGGACCAAAGGGAAATGGAGCTCCGAGGTCATGTAGAATTGGATCGCTTCCTCATGCAATCCAATAACCAGATGCAGGGGCCGAGTCGGAAATTTGATGGGTCCCACCACCAGCTCCCACCCATCGATAGTCTCCACCCTCAGCGGGGGGTCTACTGGACACAAGGGGATGTTATACTGGGCTGCAAAGGCCTGGTCCATAAAGTTTGTTGTGGCCCCTGAGTCCACTACCACATGCGCTGGAATACCTCCTTGTTGGTTCAACACGAAAACCTGGGAAGCCAGGATGTCGAGGGTTGCCAGGGTCCATATCTGCCACTTCAGATGGCAAACTGGTATGTGCCCGGCCTATGGTTTCCCTTAGACCGGTCCTGCCTCGTTTCCTGATTGGTCTGTTCGAATTCGGGGCCCGGGGTCAGGCTGTGATGCTCCGCCTTTCTTCTGTGGACAGGAGGCTGTGAAGTTTCCAATACAAGCACAGCCCCCCCCCCGGCATCTGCAAGTCTTTTCTTGGGCTGTCAGGCAGGGTTGGGCCACTCCCAGTTCCATCGGTTCACCCACCATAGCTACGAAGCGTGGCACAGCTCGGGATGCTGCTGGCACTGGGCGAGAAGCAACAGACAGGCTCGGTGCAGGCGGCGGCTCTGGAGCCGTCCGTCGACTCCTCTGACGCTGCAGGCATGCGTTGATCCAGAGACACTGGACCACTAAGGTGTCGAAAGTTGGAGGAGCCTCGACTTGGGCCAATTCATCCTGCAGTTCTTCCGACAAGCCATCTTGGAAGGCATCCATCAATGCCGCCTCATTCCAGGTGGAGTCTTGAGATAACAGTCGAAATTCTGCAATGAAATCCTGTAGGGGGCACCTCCCCTGTTTCATGTCCCTGAGGCGCCTTGCCATGGTCTTTGCCCTGATGGGGTCTTTGTACATTTGCTGAAGGTGGCACCAGAACCCCTGGCAATCAGTCAGAAGGGGACTATTCTGGGCCAATAAGGGCGTGGCCCATCGAGCAGCAGACCCAGAGAGAAGACTGATGATGAACCCCACCCTAGTTTGATCATCTGGGAAATCCTCTGCTCTTAGGGACATATACAGCTGGCACTGCCCCATGAATGCTGAGAACATGTCCGGCTACCCAGTGAAATTATCTGGCATGGCTACTGGACAGTTCCGACATGGCTGGGGAGGGACAGGTACATTCAATTGAGTCACTTGACCAGCAAGCTGGGTGACTTGCTGGTGTAGCAGTTGGTTCTCAGCTAGCATCTGCTGCAGTTGTTGTTGGGGGTCCATGACGGTTAAAGGTGGCTTGTTATGGGGTGGTGAACAAGTTTGTTCTGTCTCCTTCCAGGAGTGGCCTTGCAGAGGCTCAAATAGCCCGGCAGTAACAAACGCAGGCTAGAGAGACTGAAGCTGGCCTTTTAATAAATAGTTCTCTTCCAAAGCATATATCAGTCCAATAGTTACCGGGCAATGTTCCAAAGGTCTTGGCAGATGGCCAGCAGGCTAATGCAGGAATGCAGACTCTTGTCAAAAACTCCAAACTAACAGTTGTAACTCCACTGTATCCAAAACACCAACAAATTGTTCATCACGCCTTTCCAGCCCAGTCACACCCCTTTTATACTTTGTAGGGTGTGGCCCTATGTCTCCTGACCACACCTCTTAGGACATGGCAATAGCTGTCCTCTACGACATCTCCTACGTCTCTCTCTTGCATCCAATAGGGGCTCCCCCTCATTATCAGCCTCTGTTTCCTCCTCAAATTGGCTGGGGTCCATAGGCATGTCAGCAACTGTCAGTTCTTGCTGACTCACCAGTGAAGATGGCCCCTCCGGCACATAGCTCATAACAGCTTCCTCCTTCTCCATATCATCCTCCAAATTAGCATGTGAAAATAAATCAGCCTCCAGGGCCGTGATCACAACAGGTGAGTTCTATTCCTACAAAAGCACATTAAGTTCTTTTCCTGCAAAATACACAATACTTGTCTGAGTTTAATCTATTTCAATCTCCAGGAGAACGTGAGTTCTAGTTGGACCATTGGGATCGAAGTAAGCTTTTTGACCTTGTGCCAATTACCGCAATTTGGTGAGTTTGAGATGAACATTTAAGACGGAAGCCAGCTGTGTGAGTTTGGTCAAATTAACAGGAGAGAGTCAGTAGTAGAAGGTGAGTTCTAGTCCTCCAATAGTCAAGGTAAGTTTTCGTCCTCCAACTTGAACAACCGTCAGAGGAGTGATCTTATGCCAATTCTCCCACGATACGGTGAGTTCTAGTCCTACAAAAGCATATTGAGTTCTTTTCCTGTAAAATACACAACACTTGTCTGAGTTTAACCTATTTCAATCATCAGGGGAACATGAGTTCTAGTTGGACCATTGGGATGGAAGTCAGCTTTTTTACCTTGCCCCAATTACTGCAATTTGGTGAGTTTGAGATTAACATTTAAGATGGAAACCAGCTGTTTGACTTTGGTCGAATTAACAGAAGACAGTCAATAGGAGAAGGTGAGTTCTAATCCTCCAATAGTCAATTTAAGTTCTCGTCCTCCAATTTGAACGACTGTCAGAGGAGTGATTTTATGCCAATTCTCCCAGGATAAGGTGAGTTCTAGTCCTACAAAAGCACATTGAGTTCTTTTCCTGCAAAATACACAATACTTGTCTGAGTTTATCCTATTCAATCACCAGGAGAACACGAGTTCTAGTTGGGCCATTGGGATGGAAGTCAGCTTTTTGACCATGTGCCAATTACTGCAATTTGGTGAGTTTGAAATAAACATTTAAGGCGGAAGCCAGCTGCTTCCGGCAGTGACGTCTGAGCGGAGTGGGTGAAGGTGCGATTCATCGCTCCTGAAAACCCAACTAATTCCTGAAAAGGAGCCCCATAAGGGCAGTTCTAAACCCGGAGGGTTTGGAATACTAAAAGGGAAGGCTTTAATCTTCGGACGAGATGCTAGCGTTCAGGAGAATAAAAGACGAACCCCTTAAATCCTGCAGGAAAAAAATCTATCTTTAAGGCAGATTGAGAGCGATGGTGGCTGCATAGAGAGGAAGCAAAAAGTGATTTTCAGCATTAGTGGTCACGGAAGATTGGAAGAAAAAAGAAAAGTGAGATTCTTAGCAAGCTGTCACCAGTGAGAGAGTCACAGAGGGTGAGGAGAGTGGCGATCAGGAAGGAGAGTGCTTAATGCGAGATATTCGAACTGAGGCAACAGGGTAATAAAAGCGGCGGAAGAAGCAATTTACAAGAAAATACAAATTAACAACTGAAACTGAACTGAAAGATTCGCACCTGAGCCAAGGATTTATTGTGAGAGAAGGGGAAAAACAAAAAGAAAAAAGGAGTAACCTCACCATGAGAAGGAAGAAACTGCGAAGGTATATATAAACTTTGGAACTGAAAAGTTAAGGACTTTCCTTCTTTTAACTGACGAACTTGGTGAACTTCGAGGATTGAGGAGGAGGCGATTTGGAAAGAAATTTATAGATAGGCACATGGATAAGGTGGATTTATAAACATTGAGAAGAAAACAGATTGCAAGATTGGGAGGACGCAGAGACTGTGTGCTGGAATTTAAAGTGACTAAGCTTGATTTAGGAGATAGAACTAATCTGATGCAATAAGGACTGGAAAGAAGGGAAAAAAAGAAGAAGAAGAATTCAAAAAAGAATAAAGTCTGGTTGGAATTTATTATACATCGAGATTGTGATTTGGCGGGGAATTGCTTTTTGGTAACATTTGAAAAGGGAAAGTTATAGAATATATTGTTAAGATAAATTTATTGTTGAAGAACTGTGGATAGATGTTGAAAGAATGAAAACGGAGATTTATCTTGAATTCTTGATATTTTATAATAATAGTGAAAATAGTTGATATTATTATAATACATAAATTAATTAATTTGATTTTAAAAAAGGGGTCGGGATGATTATTAAAGAGTCATTGAATGGTTAAACTTGACTTCAGCGGTGGTATATAAATAAATAAATTAAAGGGATTGATATATAATGTATTAGTGGTAAAAGATAAACATAGAATATTGATATATGAAAATTGTAGTTATAATTTGAGAATATAGTACATATATAGATAGAGGTATACATAGATATACATAAAGTCTAATTGAGATAAATACTGTGATTATTATTAGTAGTAGTTTTAAAGTAAAAAAGAAAAAGAAAGATAATATCTAAATTAAGTCTGTAAGGAATTACAATTAAAGTAATAAGTAGTGGATATAGAAGAACGCTTCAAGGTAAATAAAACATTATATGATACTGTGGAAGTACCTCATAAGAAATCTAACAATGTCAACAACAGCAACAGTAATGAAAACTGGAAAAAAGCCCATTGCTAATCCAACAGCTATGTCTTCCCCTACTACTCAACGATCAATTGAAAATATGTTAGGGAAGGAAAAAGACAAAACAGAGCTGACGATGAATAATATGCAAAACATGCTCCAAATGATTCAAGAGACAGTGATGAAGTCTCAAGAAAAAATGGCAGACAATTAAGAAGAGGCTAGGAAACACCATCAAGAAATTAAAAATGAGATAGGGGAAGTAAAGTAAGATTTAAAAAATATGAAGGAAAAGTTGGAGAATATACAACAAACAATTGCAGAAAATGAGCAAAAAGTTAAAAAAATAGAAACCAAGGTGGATCAATTAGACCTTAAATTAGAAATGGCGGAGCAGAAGGTACTACAATCAAACAAGGAATTGTCAGACTCAATTATTTTTTTGGAAATGGAGAAAGCCTCATATTTTTTGCATTTCCAGAATGTCGTGGAAGAGAAAGAGGAAGATTTGAAGGATAAAATGAGTGAGATAATAGCAGAATTAATACAGAGAGATAAGTTGGAAATAAAAGATACCATGGATGAAATCTACTGAGTACATAATAATTATATAAGAAAACACCATTTAGCATGGGAAGTAAATATCAGATTCATTAAAAAAACAATAAGAGATGAAATCTATAAAAATATCAAGAGAAGAGACTGTAACATATAAAGGGAAAGAAATCATAATTCTAAAACAAATTCCACACAGAATTTGAGACCAAAGGCAACAGTATCATTTCTTGACATCACACCTTATAAAACATAGAATAATGTTTAGATGGATTATCCCCGAAAGTATCCTCATCACATGGCAGGATAAGAAATTCAAAGTTGATTCGATAGAAAAAGCTCAAGAGTTCTATAAAAATTACTTGGAAGAAGAACAAGAAAGTAAAGACGAATCAGAAAGTAAAAGTCAAGAGGAGATAGAAAGAGAGAAAGAGCTAAGGAAAACCCAAGAAAAGGAACAAGAAGAAAGGGAAGGAGCAAGGGGAAGAGTTAAAAGGGAGACAAAAATACCAAGAAACAAATACAGTAGGAGATGGAAGAAACAATATCTTTATTCCCCGTGAATATTAATGGTTTAAATGCACAGAAAAAAGAGAGCACAAATATTTACAAAACTAAAGAAATAGGACTAAATGAGTGGGCGGATCATAATCCGATAATTATACATTGGAAAGGACAAAAAAGGTACAAAAGGTGGACGTTAAATCAATACATATGTAAGGAGAAAGAAGATAAGCAATTCCTGGAGAAAGAGATAGAGATTTTCTTAGAAATAAACAAAAAGGAAGATACATCAGCTCAAAACCTTTGGGACATGCTAAAAGCCTATATTAGAGGGGTGACGATTGCATATACAGCAAAAAAAAAGAAAAAAGAAAAGAGAAAAGGTCCCTGCAAAATAAACTATAGGAAGAGTTTAAAAAATTAGAAGAAGCCCTTCAGAAAGACCCCCAAAATAAAAGAGTAAAAGAGGAACGGAGAATAATTAAACACAAACTAAATTTGATAACCCAAGAAGAAGTGGCATTTAAAATAAAGAGGGCAAAACAAAATTATTTTGAGCATGCAAACAAGGTGAGCAGGTGGTTAGCTTATAAATTAAAAAAGGAAAATGATAAAAGAACGATACAACATTTGAAAGATAAGGAGGGGAAAATCCGATATAAAAGAGAAGACAAGAAACAAATAATACATACTTTCTTTTCCAAATTATATACGCAGGAAGAAACGATAGAAGCAGAAAATAAAGAATATCTAGAGAAAACAAATGTATGTAAACTTACGGAGGAACAGAAAGAAGTATTGAATAGACCAATCTTTGAAACAGAATTCGGAATTGCAATGAAAAGGCAAAAAAAATAATAAGACACCAGGGCCAGATGGAATACCCATTGAACTATACAGGTGCATACAAAAGCAGATAGGAGGTTTTATGTTAGAAATATTCAATGAAGCACTACAGGAGACAACTATACCCAAAACATGGACAGAAGCACTAATCACACTTATATATAAGGAGGACTCAGACCAGCAATTAGTACAAAATTACAGGCCTATCTCTTTATTGAATTCTGATTATAAAACGTATATGTCAATAATTGCTGAAAGGTTAAAAATGATTCTAAATAAACATATTCATTCGGATCAAAATGGTTTCTTGCCAGGACAACAAATTAGAAATAACACACGCACTATAATTGATATATTAGAATTTTATGAAGCACACCCAGAGAAACAAGTTTCACTGGTTTTCCTTGATGCCCAAAAAGCTTTTGATAATTTGAATTGGAGATTTATGATACAACAAATTAAAAAAAAATGGAATTTGGCTCAAAATTTGAAAAATGATTGAAAAAATATATTCAAAACAAACTGCAAGAGTAATTATGAATCAAGATGTGACAGACGGATTTGAGATAACAAAAGGAGTGAGACAAGGATGTCCACTTTCCCCACTTCTCTTTATATTATCATTGGAACCACTCTTAAAAAAAATTAGGGAAGATCGAGAGATAAAAGGATTGACAATAAAAAATGAGTACAAATTGCAAGCTTTTGCAGACGATACAGTCTTTATAATAGAGGAACCCCTAAAATCAGGCCCTAAATTGATTGAAAAAGTAGAAGAATTTGGTGTAGTGGCAGGTTTAAAAATTAATAGAAATAAATCCAAAATGTTAACCAAAAAACTTACAAAGAAACAAGAGATAGAATTAGAAAATAGTATGAATATTCAGATAACAAAAAAAATAAATAAAATATTTAGGGATTTGGCTAACAGCAAGAGGCTCCTCAATCAAAAAGGAAAATTATGACAAATTAATACTGCAAACTGAGAAAGATTTGGAAAATTGGAAAAATCTTCAAATTTCATGGATGGGAAGAATGGCAGCAATAAAAATGAATATTCTGCCCAAAATTTTATTCCTTTTCCAGGTTATACCGATAAAATTAGAAAAAAGTTTTTTTGATTTATTAAACATATTGACCTCAAAATTTATATGGCAAGGGAGAAAACCTAGAATTAGATTAAAAACACTACAAGATACCAGGGACAGAGAGGAGTAGCATTTCCAGATTGGGAGATTTATTACCAAACAGCATGCCTAACATGGTTAAAGGAATGGATGGAGCTGGAAAATAAAAGAATTTTAACAATAGAAGGACACGATTTACAGACAGGATGGCATGCATTTCTATGGGGTGAAAAGTATAAAACCCATGGATTTTTTAGAAGGCATATAATTAGAAATTCACTATTATTAATTTGGCATAAAATCAAAAAGCAACACTATATAAGAATACCGTTTTGGATCTCTCCCAATGAAACATTAACACACCCAAATTTAGTAAACTGGACTGAAATAATTAGATACAGGTTTATATTAAATGATTCGGGAAAATTAAAAACAAAACAAGAATTGGAACAGGATTTGAATAGGGAAGTTGAATGGTGGACATACTTACAAACAAGATCAAAATACTTAGATACAAAAATAGATCAGGTACAATTGGAGCAAAATGAACTGGATAAAATTATATATGGGAGGGAACAAAAATTAATTAGTAAAATTATAAATTTATAATTTTATAAATTTTTATTACGGTATAAAATGGAAGAAGAAATAGTGAAAGATACTATGATTAAATGAGCAAGGAATTTCAATCATGTAATAGAATTAAAGAAGTGGGAAAGATGTGGAGAACAAATATGAAATTGACAATATCAACAGCATACAAGGAAAACCAGATGAAAATGTTTCATAGATGGAACTTTCCACCAGCTAGAATAGCGAAAATGTTCCCCAGTAATTCACCGAAATGTTGGAAATGTAAAAATAACTATGGAACTTATTATCATCTCTGGTGGACCTGCGAAAGTGGTGAAGAAATTCTGGGCGAAAGTTAAAAAGTGGATAGAGGAAATAGTTCAGAATTCAATAAAGGGAGAACCTGAGCAGTTTCTACTAGGGATTTCCATAGAAAACTATACTAAGGAAAAACATTATTTAATATTACATATACTAACAGCAGCCCGCATAGTCTATGCGCAAAATTGGAAGAAGGAAAACTTACCATCAGAAGAAGATTTAATTAGGAAAATCTTAGAGTGCGCAGAGATGGACAAATTAATAAAAGAAATCAAGGAGAAAGAGGATATAGAATATTACAAAGTGTAATGTAGGTGGTATGAATGGTTGGAGAATAGGAAAAATAACAAAGAGGAATAAAGGAGAAAAGGGAGAAAAAATGTTGAAGATCAAAGTACGATATAGACAAAAGAAAGAATGATGGAAAATAAATTGTTCAATAAGATAAAGTTAAAATATGT